GAAGCAGTCATGTAGGGTAGTTGCATTGTCGATCCATGCGAAAACCTAACGATTTTGCTCTGCGTGTATGTACATATAATATACATCTGCTAATGTTACTCTAATACCTACATACTGCTACTAGATGTGCTAATAGATATACACTAGAATTTTTCGGGAGCTGCTAAATTTGCAGAAGAAAAATTTCAAAGCTAACTTACTTGTTTTGTTAAAAAAAATAGGAGCGTTATGGGCTCATTTAAAATTTTATAAGGATCGAGGTGACAGCACTGTTCATAAAAATTCAACTTTATTTTAACATTTATATCATATACTTATTATGACAATTTGTACCACTCACTATACAAGACGATAATCTAACATTAAATAAATATACAAAGCTTTATGGGCTCTTACCAAAAAAAAAATCGGGGCTCTTATAAATTCATTAAGAAATTAAGATTCCAACGTGCCAGATAAATTCTGAACTTCACTACTGCACGCCAATCACACACAAAACAACTTCATTTTAAACTGTTTTCTGAGCCCTAACCCCCACTTCTCTTATTTAAACGAGAAGTCTTTCTATTTGATATATCCAAAAGATACATATGTAAAATTTGAATTAAGGATTGTTTAAGAGGACGATTTTAAAATTATGACTTTAAGAAAATGTGTAACTAAAGAGAAGTTTTCATTTTCTTCTCATCAACTCTACTGCACTACACCACAATACCAAAAAGCATATGCAAAGAGATAAAGTTTTTAAATCTTAATCTTTATTCTACACCTAATTCCAATCAGTGGTCTTCTGAACACTAGCTGAGTACTCTATCAACTTTTCAACGAGTGACCTCTACCATAGATTAATCTTTTTCTCCTTGTTTTTGTGTAGTTCGTTACTTGTATCTAATTTTTATATTTATTTCTGTTAATTAATTAATTTGTCAAGTGCACATAATAATAATTAATAAATTATTTATACTACTTATTATTTTTTTTACACAATAGAGTAGTTATTTCGAAACTTAGAAATAAATGATTTTTTTTATTACCTTTGATCCTTTGAAATGTAAGAATTGTAAACTAATTATGTATAAACAATTGACGATGAAATTAAATTTAGTTTTTCTTTATTCTCATTTTAATACAATAAATCTTTAAACAATAGAACACTGTAAAAAGATCAGCATATTGAATTTTTTTTAAATAATTTTTTTACAACATGTATAGAAAGTTAGTATGTAAACACTTAATTTTCTTAAAAAAATTAAGGTAATTATAAATGTCCTATATAAATTTGAGTTAAGCTTCTTAAAAAAAAAATTTTATTACAGATTAAGAATACATCATGTCATTTGGTACGATTAAATAATTGAATGATAATTAACAGATGAACTTTAGGGTATATTTGAGAATGTCACGTCTATTTGTTCCTATAAGAATTTTGAGTTAAAGTTCAATAATTTTTTTAAATTTTATTTCAAACAATATTCTTGATTTTTAAATTATCTTTAATTAAAAGAATATATAGTATCAACCTTAGCATTTTCAGAAGGCTACGTATAGTTGGCCGTGAGAGAACTCTAGTTTTCTAGTTTTCCTAAGTATAAACTAACATTACTAACTTTGATCTCGAGATTTATAGACAGTCATAGCAAATAGCGCAACTATTGGGAATCGCTTAAGATATCAAATACATAGCAGTGTAGAGGTGTTTTCGGTATTGAAAGTTATTTTGAAGATAATAATCTTGAGAACAATTTTTTCTCTCATTATTATTTTTCCTTCTACGTTTTATTTAGATTATTTAGCGGTTCTTAATTAAGTACCATTACATAAGCTTATGTATTTTTTTTTGTATTTATCTTTATATGACTTTTGGCACAAATGAAAAATTCTTATAGTTTATAAGCTGATAACATGAGACATAAGTATCTAACACCAATATACTCACTTATTTAATAAATTCTTTCGTCACTTTGTTTTTAAATTCTTAAACTCAAACGTATGCTCTGTCAATATCACTATATATGTAGTCAAAAATATATTTTACGCTTTGGATTAATGCACTACATTTAAGGTTAATATAACATTAACAGTTCATTAATTTAAATTTATTACAAGGTTTAACCATTTAATTATCTACTCAAATTTCACCTGAGTTGATATTTCGTAAATATATACACACTAAATTTTTTTAGGCGCAACATTTTTTAAACAGGATGTGGAGTTATTGAAACGTGTACATGAGGTTGACCAATTTGCTAAATTATGTCATGCAGACGTATACAACACTTAACTTTGAAAATAATTTTTGATATCATCTAAGAAAAATAGTAATTAAAAATGTTATAATCTAACTGTTGTATTGGGAATGTCATGTGGTGTCATATTTTTAAAAATTTTGATGAAAATAACCTCAATTTGTTTCCATTCATGAAAACATACTACCATTATAAATAATTCTAGTCTACCACGTTCTTACTATAGCTTTTATGTGCTGATAGTGCTTTTGCATATATTTTGGATTTACGATGGATTTAGATAGCAGTCTGAAGAGATTTAACATTTTTTTCTCTTTGTTTGAAAATTTTAAGAAATATTAAATGCTTCATAAGTTATGGCATCTAATAACCGTTAATGCAATTCAGTTTTATAATTTTTTAGCTTATATCTTGAATGATCAAAATAAATATACTAAATAATCTTGTTATTAACTTAACGTATCTTGTTATTGGGGTGTGTTGTGTTTTAGGAGGTGAGTACAGATTAACTTGTACAATCAACTATGTAACAAAACTAAAAATAAGCAAAAATTAATACTCATGTAAAAAAAAGTATGCCTAAAGATATATATGTATATTAGTGGGAGTCCACCCCTTTCGACGCTTCATTCACAAAATCCCTAATTTTTAAATGTCAAGTGAATACTTTATTTTTTCTCTTTGCCTTTTAAAGTGAAAAAAATACAAATTGTTAAAATAAAGAGTTTTATTGAACTTTACGAAGTTAACGTAAAAGTATTCTTTAAAAATAGATAAGGAAAATACATATAATTGAAAATTTAAAAAATGTAGTGTGAAATTGACATCACTCTTCACAAAAACCTGAATTTAGGTCATCATAACATACAAGAGTATTAAAATTCTCATACTAACTAGAATTTAGATAGAATAATAAATCAATCAACAAATCAAAATGAAAGAAAAAAAAGTGATACTTTAACTAACAATTACAGTAAAATTAAAAAATTTTGAGGTCATTTTGATAAAATAGTAATTGTCAGTGATGAGAAGAAACTATTAAATATTTATCAAATATTTTTGTATGATTATGATCATTATCACATAAGAATAAACATAATAATAGTAAACCTATGTCAATAAGTGTCAATAAAAATTAAAACTACATTTTTGGAAACTACTACTCACAAAACGTAATATTTAGTCATAGTTATTTAGATCTTTTATCACAAAATGGAATTCTTGCTACTGCAGTTAAATTTAAATGTTTTATAAACATGTTTTATGTGTACGTTAAAATTACTTTAGAAGTTTTAAGTAACGTTATATTTTTTGATCATTCTTCTAGTTATTTAAAATTAAGTTCAATATTTCCTTGTGACATTGATTATGTTATGTTTTCCTTATCTACTTTTTTAAATTCAAATATAAAAAAAAAAAAAAAAAAAAAAAGGAATTATACGTATGTTAAAAAAAAATTTGTAAGTTAGTAAAATAATAAAAAAATTATGGTAATAAGAATTGATATTATATCAGTGCAACAAATAATAATAAATCCTTAATAAAACCTTTTTAATGCAGTGATATGAATGACAAATGTGTGCAGCAATTTACGAATTTTCAAATCTTAAGTAAACCTTCAGAAAGAATTAAGTAACAGAATAGTATTTCAAGAAGAATGTTGCTGCTATTACTTCATCTTTTTTAACTATACTTGCTTACATCAATCTCATAATTACCTTAATAGATCGTTATTTTTTTTTCTGTGAGTAAAAACAGATTCTCTTATGATATATACTAAAAACAATAAATAAGCAACACATACTATATCTTACTGTAGACTATTTAAGTTTTAAATTGATGGATTTCTAAACTTTCCTAACAGAAATAAAAGCTTTGTGGATGTCTTGATGACACAAGTAATACTTACCAGAAGTATCCTTATCTCAGGGCTAGGCAGCATGTCACGCATGACCTACATGAATACTGTAACTTTGTTACTATACCAACTAACCATTGCTTTTTTTGATCATGCTTATGCTCGGCTAAGTTTATCTAAAACAATTTTTTTCTTACTACTTAGAGCTAATTTGCTTATTTTGTTTCTCATTTCAATCAACGTTACCTCTAATAAGGATTATCAGCAAGAGCTTCTTCTCTGGTAGATCGAGTCCTATCTTCTCTTATAGCCTACTAAATTATTTTTGGTCCAGATGAAGCTCTACTTTCTTTGATTCCATTGAATCTTTTTCCAAAATCTTTACAAAAGTGCTCTTTCTTATTTCTAGATTTGTACAAAAACTCAGAATAGTTTTGTTTAAGACTCTGTTGTTCTATCTCAAGGGGCTCTGAGACACAAGCAAAGAAATCCCTGATTAGGTGAAATGTAGTTACGCACCATTCTTAACAGAATTTTTAAAGGGCAGATAAAATCATTCACCATGAACGAAAACAAGGTACATGTGAGGGAGCACAAGCACTAAGGTGTTGAATATGGCACCAGAGCGTAGTGACACATATGTAAGGATGTGAAGCAGCAATAAATTAAAAAATTGAGGATAATATTTTGTTTATATAAGCTGCTGAAAATATTATTAGATTGTGTTATATTGTCAGTAGCTACACTTATTTAATTCCATGATAGTATATCAATTTTTTTTTTTTAATTGTTACAGCAACAAAATTAGCTCTTGCATAACAAATTAGCAACAAATTATGGTGTCTTTAGTGTTTTCAAAATATGATATGCCTATCTTTGTTAGAGAAATATCTTACCTGAGATTCTTCGATGCTGATGTTGTTGATGCCAACAAAGTTTAATGTCCGTAAAGTGTCACCTTTGCGATCAACTACATACAGCGCAGGCTCAGGTCCAAACTTGACTTTGACAAGACGTCTATGATTAGCATGTAGCCACTCTCGCACAATCATTTTATCAACATTGACCTTGCCATTTGTTTTTTTCTTATGTAATATTGTTTCTTGGAGAATTTTTAGTCTTCGACGCTTGCGATTCTGTAGCTTTATTACCCCATAACCTGCTCCTGCACATAGTATTGGCACAAAGCCCAAGAATACACATGCGTAGATGTAGACCAACTCGCTATCCTGTTATAAAGTAAACAGAAATCAAGTACGATTAGCGTTTCACAGAAATGTTGCTTATATTATTAGAACTTGTCACCTAAGGTCATAATAAATCCCAGACTGACAATATGAAAAATGTAAATTTTACTTTAGAGTATAAAAAGGGTTAATGAGTTAAATCAGCTTAGTAATGTATATAGGGCTCACTTAATCAAGTGGTTAGTAGGTGCTTGGGTACGCCAGAATTAAGTTATAATTTAACTAATAATAATATTAAAAAAGAAATACTTCTAACGAAAGTATATTCTACATAACTCACTGTGTTACACCGAATATGATGTAGTGAACATTTCGCTGAGAATATTGGGTAATTGGGCGTGGTTTAAATAAATATTTTTATACTTATTTAATAAAAAGTTATGAACAATATATAACGTATACAAAAAAACTTCAAAAACCTGTATTGTACTAGTATAAGTTCAGGCAGTGGGCATATCTTTAGATTTGCATGATACTTAATGTAGTTTCCAACGTTTTTTTTCTCACAAACTCTCAAATACTTATACAGTGTTTTGTTAGTTTTACTCCTTCCATAGTACTGCTTACTTTCCATAAGTTATTATAATCTCATCATGTTTACAGATTTTTAAGCTTAATAATTCTTATTTTCTCTATATACCGTTGCTCAATTTTAATAATCGTTAAGCCTAAGTTGTATTTTCTTTGTCTGTTTAATTATGTTCTTTGGATTTGCATCAAAGAGCTGAATTTAATTTTCCTATTATTTCTAGCTAAATTAGCTTATTTTTTAGTTTCTGAAAGTAAATAATAATTATTTTCTTACAATGTTTATTTAAATTTTGTTACAACGATTACAATGTACCACTGTATAGACAGTACGCACGTATGTTGGAATCAAATCAAGTGAATGAAGTTTATGTTTTTCATAAACTGTTTGCTGCTGATACTTTTATCAAGCAAACGACTTAGTTTTTTAAGTTATACTTCTATAGGCACGTTATGTGTGAGAGTAAATCTACGATTTCATATTCTAAGAAAGAGTGTGACGAAAGTGGATTTTGCATGATTCTCCCCCTTCACCTCGTCCTCCATAACGTAATTTCGGTTCCCTCAACACCACGTCTTCGCACCACATAGTTTGAATTTTATTAATTGTATGTCTTTTTTTAACCATAAAAAAAGAAAAAATAAATTCTAAAGAGATTCGAAACCTGGACTTTCTACACACTAGCTACGGCCCTTACCCACTCTCCTATGAATGGTTCTAATGGAAATCTATATTATTGCAAGTTATGCTGTGGTTTTTAACTTATTTTTTATGTAAGCTTTTATTGAGTGTACATTAATTTCTTGGATTAAATTATTAATTTAGTTTTTAAATAATTTATTTAAGAGAATACATTGTTTTTTCAAATTTTTTTAGAAAACTTGGAAATCAGAATATCTTAGCAGAGCAGCTTTCCAATATATTAATAAACATTTATTCCTGTGTACTTAATTTATTCTTACAATAAATTAATGATTGTTTATACAATTTCTCATATTTTTTAAAATTTGTTAAAATTAAAAAAAAGTTCTTGTACCGTACAAATACAATACATGATTTTTATTATATTTTATACTTTTATAATTTTTATAATATGTGTAGTAAAGCTAGCAATTGTTTTTTTCATGTGGATGTACTCACATACATTCATTTACGCCCACTTCATCCATTCTTTCATAATTTATTAAAAAACTTATTTGTAGGTTTATTTAAAAATTCAATAGTTTTATCATAACATAATCTTTTGTACCCAAAAAACTTGGAGATTCCTAAAAATGCTATAAATGATTTTTTCATAAGGTTACATGTTAAATATAGATTTTTTGAAATTACATATATAAAAAACAATGGTACATTTAATTAAGCTATAGTTTTTGTTGGTATTTTTTAGGCTTTTTTAATGTACGTTTAATATGTAAACAATATCTATCAAAAAAACCTATGTGTGATAAACTTCCTAGAGGGACATTCACTGGCATGTAATAGTACCCTTTTGGACGAAGCGATACGACAGAATGGTTTTTCTTAATTTTCTAGATACAATTAGTGTAGTAGTAGTATTATGACTTCAACGTATAGCCATTCCAGGCTTTTTACGTACCTCATCTTTACCTCCTATGCTCTTTTTTTTCGTAAATACCATTAATTTCTCCAAGTTGGCGAGTCTTTCGTGCGGATCCCTCACATAGCTCCCCTCAGATGACTCGGTCATCCATCCTACTAGGTCCTATTTACAGGGTGCAGTAATTATCTCAAGCACACGCTAGCCATTATCGAGTTTAATGGAAAGACATTTTTCCAATAAACCATCTAAACTCGCTATACCGACCTTTTTATAACCAATAGTGACTTTACCCGATGAGCTGGCCAGGTGTTGGCTATCCTTCGCAAAGGAAGCCCTTAAAGGTCCAGGCATCACCAGAAAAATCCACTATTTATTTTAAAATGTGAATGAGTGGTGTATCGGTGTTCTGGATACACATCCTATCGGAAAATACCGAGAAAAAATCTCGATAATTTCCGACGGGATTCGAACCACCGACCCCTCGAGTATCTCTAGCTAGGAGGCTAGCACACTAACCACTAAGACATCGAAGCTCTCTCTTCTAAATCCAATTATATTTTGGGTATAAAATATGAACTAGGAATAAGTGTAGGAGCTTATGTGATAGATGTGAGCATGATGTTATAAAAGTGTTCATCGTATAGGCAGTAGGAAATTGTTTTGAAGTCATCGGAAGATTCAATGAAAGCACAGTCTTGTACTGGGCAGCCTATATAATATCTTTATTGTTTTGTGTTGTAATACATTATTAATAATCGTTAACTTATTAAGTATTAATTGAAATCATACCCAATCAAAATAGGCATACTTATTTCCACGATAATTACACCACCTTCGTACACAATATCGTTTCATAGAAAGTATTTTTATAGTCATAATTGCATTGTTTGCCACATAATTTTATGAAAGTATAACTTCATGCTTGGGTATGCAAGCACCTACTGTTCACTGTTTGATTTTAATCGTAACGTTTTATTTTAAGTTTAACGCTATAACTTATTATTATTGATACAACAGATTATTATTGGTTGTTGGTTATTGAATATATGTTGGTAGATGGAATAATTTTAATATTTTTTGTAAATCTATTCCATTGCTTTGAAATAAAATTATTTTTATGAAAATATATTGCAGTAATATGTGTGAGTATTGAAAAGTCGACTATTATGTGAATTAGTTGAAAAATACTAAAGTTATGAATTTTGTAGTTTGAACGTGTAAGAATATTTTCGTATTTTTTATTTTATTCACAAAAATACTTTACTAAATACACATTCTAAGAAGCTTTTGTAATCATCATCAACATCAAAAAGATATTGAGTGAAATTTCTAAAGATCATTTTATTACGGATGCAAGATGTATGGTAAGTAACATTAACTATTAACTTAATTATTTATGACAAATTATTCTCATACAAGTAATCGTTTGATATTTTTAATATTTGTCAGGAATGAGAGCTGCAGGCATTTATTTCATGATGTTAAAACAACTTCATACGTAACAAAATTTAACATATGCAGAAATTTCAGACTATTTTGAAAAACTTAATATTTAACTTATTATTGGAGTTCCAGCTCAAAAAATTATTGCACTTACATTTTAAACACATCGTACAACTTTTATGTATTATAAAAATATTACTAGACGATCCACTATACGTATCTTCTCTGAAACTGATTATAACTTTATTGATAATCTGTACAGATGCTAACTTTCCATAGAAAAAACACTTCGTCATCTAGGCAAAATCCAGAAAAATTCAGAGTCCAGAAATATAAATGAGTGGGTTTGTGGCATCTCACGTACTTATTGTATAGATACGAACTTCTTCCCTTAATGGATTTTTACCGTACTCAAGACTACTACTTGGGTTAGTATAGCATACCTCTTTTCAGCCTGAAAGCTTATTTTTATCCATAAGATCATATGTTCAAAGAAAATGCGATGCATAGTATAGTTGAACTGAAAGTATTCGGATAGAAGCTTAGAGATTAAAAGTGTCACAAAAAGATTTTTCGATTTAGGATTAGCTATAGTAGTTTTAAGGACATTTAAATTCACTCGTTATGGGTCCTAAACTTGAGTCTGACAGCTTAGATGTAAGTTAAATCGTATTATTTATTAGAGCAGTCAGTGATACTCTTTTAATAGGGAAAATAAGACGCATGTTTGATACTGCAAAAACTGATGGAACATCATGAAATGCATTAAAGTGAAGTAGAATCACATTTTATATTTAACTGGCATATGATAACGTTTTCTAAAATTATATCATCTTAAACAACATATTCTTAGAAGAAAAGTAGTACACGTGCTGTAAGATCTAAAATTTTTTTTAAATAGTTAAATGTGAAAAAAAATATTTAAATGTGTTACATTATTCTGCCATAAAAATTATTGGAAGTAGTAAATATTTGTGAAACAGATATTATATCTAAATTTAAGTCTGATGAATTCATACAATTCAATGAAAGCGATGGTGAATTGTTACGGTGAAGAAGCCAGACATTGCTAGTCGAAAGCCGAGGCCGTTTTCTTGTCATTACCTAACGCAATTTTTTTATTAATTAAAGATACAATAGAAGCGTATTTATGGTGCACAATAACTCCACAACCAAAAAAAACGGTCAACATTTGCTCGACGTTTCTCTTAGACGTGATTTTTTTTGTCTTGGCGTTTAAAAACGATCCCACAGTAAAGACTATATTACTAAGTATTGCCTCATTTCGGGATTATAACCGTAAGCCCACGATTCATCACCAGTGATATTTTTTTTTTTTCTTACCATGGGCACAAAGTGCAACTGCCGCTTTATGCCCTCAGGTCATACTTTGCGCCCTTGTAATTACTTTAGGCCTACGGGTAGAAAAGTTTTTTGCGCCCTCCAGGCCCAAAGTACTTTTGCACCCTAGAGCCCAAAGTGATTAACTGGGCGCATAGTGTCCCCACACGCAGAAGATAGCACTTTGAGCGATCAGTAAGAAAAACATAATATGCGACTTGGGCGCCAACCTACACCAAGTGCAACCTTCGGGCGCTCATGCTTATGCTTTGTGCCCTAGTGACGTAATGTACCATATAAGAAACCTCTTGTCATGAACAATAATTTCGAAATTGTTTTGAGCTATTTCAGAGTAAAGATCCTTCTACTCTGGTGATAGAAATTATGGGATAAATTTTGTATACATGCGAACAAATGCCGCTAACACTGTCAATATTAGTTTTTCGTATTTAATGATTGTTTTATCGTTTACGTACAGTTAACTTTCTTCAATTACAAGCCAAACACCCTTGATATGTTTATTATGATTGTGCTTAAAGGACGGTGGGATCGTGAATCACTCAGAGCAGACTGGCAACCATCTTAAATCTTCCTACACTACACAACTTTAATAACACTTTCCTTAGTGACAATAAAAGTGTTGTAACTTTTATTTAATTAAAAAAAATTTTTTTCAATAATTATTTTGCTAACAAAGCTAGCTCCTGAAATAGGTAGAACAATAAATAATCTGGAATCCTATTTCTCTAACCTTAAGCTAATGGAATATAGCAGAACATTTTCGGGCTTTCTGTCAAAAAAAATTTATAAATTTCTGAAATTTATTTTATAAGTGCCATCGCGTCCATATATTGCCTGCAGGTGACAGTCTTCTACAGTCATTTGTTACATTCTCATAAATGCAACGAATAAAAGTTATATATCTTACTTATTTGCTAGTAACATCCAACGTAAGAACGTAATTATAAAGAATTTTATGTAATGATTCATCAGCTATGAAAAAAGATAAATTTTTTAAATTCACTAGCGATTGAAATAAAAGCAGTACGCTGTATATTAGTAAGTGAATGCAAATTTCAATCTGGAGGTTCATACAAACTTTTATACAGTTCTACTAGTCACATTTGTTTTTACTTTAAAGGTCAAGTTATTTTTATCTGCACACTTGTAGTTATTTTAATTATTAATTTTGTTTTTTAAATAAATTTTAAAAGTAAATTTCTTTTTAGCGTGGATAAAGTAATTTTTATGTTTGTGCTCCATACAAAGGACAGTTATTTAAAAAAAAAAATTTGAGGAGTTTGATAGATAAGATAAACTGAGTAAATGTAAGGAATTAGAACAAAAAAAATCATAGCAAAAAAGCCGTAATAGCAATTTACGAATTTTCAAATCTTAAGTAAACCTTCAGAAAGAATTAAGTAACAGAATAGTATGTTGTATTAGCTGCATTTCAAAAAAGAACT